AAAGTAAAGTAAGTAAGTATAGTAGAGAGAGAGAGAGAGAGAGAGAGAGAGAGAGAGAGGAAGAGAGAGGGAAAGAGAAAGTGAGAAATTCTTCCGGTTTTGCCTAATATTTGAAATTTTAATATTTTAGTCAATCTATTTTTAAATTATTTTATTTATAGGAAATTGCTTTAACACAGAATTCACAGACACTTCTCATAAACAACAACAACAACAACGATAAATGCAATGTAATAGTGTATAGATTAATTTATTTGAATCAGGACGTTACGAGCCTAGTAAGAAGACGCTATTTGTCATGAAGAGTCGACTTAGGAAATGAGCCAAGACATTACTTAAATTGCTTTCATTTATTGAGCTGTGTTGTAGGCCTGACAATAAAAGCAAGGAAAATAAATGAACGACCTCATTGAATCCCATCAAAAAGTGCACTATTGAACGGATGATGTCTGGCAGAAGGTTGAATCTATTGTCAGTAGTGACAGAAGATACGGTTGAATCTGTTGTCAGTGGTGATAAAAGATCCGAATTGAATCTGTTGTCAGTAGTGACAGAAGATACGGTTGAATCTGTTGTCAGTAGTGACAGAAGATACGGTTGAATCTGTTGTCAGTAGTGACAGAAGATACGGTTGAATCTGTTGTCAGTAGTGACAGAAGATACTGTTTGAACCTACTAGTTAGTAATATCACAACTTACCTGTATGGAAAACTGTCAGACAGAGGAATGTTTCACAAATAAAAATGGAGACAGCGCAGATATGTGGATGGAGTGAAAGAGAAAAAGAGGGCGGTTTTGAGAGAGAGGGAGAGAGAGAAAAAAAAGAAGTAATGAATGAAAAAGAATTGATAGCAAGCGATTCATTATTCCATGCGCTATTATTTAAAGTGGAAGTAAAGAATCACTTTCTTCCGGGATATCACCAAGATGACTGAGAGAAGAGGAGGAGCGGAAGAGTGAAGGGACGGAGGGACGGAGGGACGGAAAACATCTGCGCTATATTACATAACAACCCTCTTGTTTTCAATTTAAAAGAAAAGAGCTAGAGAAGTTGATGAATTCATTTTCTTCGTGTCACTCTACCCAGCGGAGTATATCGAACATTCCAACTGCGCCAAACTCTTTCACCGGTTAACATTGTAAGCATAACGAATCGTTGGTCTTGTTGAACTACCCTTCTCTCAGTTACTTCTTTAAACTCCCTCCTATCACCGCCATTCATTATCATTAGCTGCTTTCATTGAGTTTATGATAGATAACCGGAGCTTAGCAGAAAACGTCTAAATGTTCTTCGGATCCATATATCGGAATACCGAAGTTAAAACTGATGGATTTGATTTGTCGATAGTGTAATCAATGGATGAATTGAGCAGAATTATATATTACAGCTAACTGTCAACATAAACATCTATCGTCATACAGTAATTTCCCGGTAAAAACGGATTTGCAAATTAAATACATGGAGCAATTTATTATTTATTAAATCTGGCATTGTTCAACAATCATCCGGAAAGCTTGTGAAATAATGATTTTTAATTACAAAGATTCGTTATTCGGAAGTGGAATTGGTAAATTTCCGGATCGAATCACAATTTATGGCAACAAAGGTCAAGAAATGCTTATAAACATCAAAATTAATCGACATTGCCATCTTCCAACATCGCTTCTATTAAGGATTTTCAAAAAAATCTTTGCATCTACGTAATTACATAATAACTAATTAGTTAATTAATTATGCCGACCGTTATATTGTTAATTCATCAAAACAGGTAGCAGTTAATTTTGTAATTGAATGTTTTAAAAAAAGGGTTCTGATACAAATAAACATTCTTTCATAAAAAGACAAATTGAAATTTGTGGAAATGACAGATGATAAAGGAATATGCTTTAATTACCATGAATCTTTCATTTACAAAACAACTATTCGATATCATTGTCCACAGCCATTACATATGATAGATAATATGTCTTTTCCTTTCCGGAACGTCATCATTTGACATTTATGAATTCTTAAGGTCATAAAACTGTCATCAGCACCAAAACTTTGTTGGTTCCATTCGCTGTTGGTTCCATTCGCAAAATGGTGGACGCAAATCTATCGTCCGTCATTTAAATCTATCATTTATATTTGTCATATGTCATATGTTATTTAAATTTTCGCATTTAAATCTGTCATTTTATGGATTCATTTGTGGCATAATTCTTTTGAAAGACTTAATTGTAAAATTAATTCATGACTACGTAATTAAGTGAGCGTAAAGATTTTTCGGAGGATTTTGATAGAAACAGTGTTGGAAGATGGCACTATCGATTAATTTTGAGATTTATAAGCATTTCTTGACCCATGACATCATAAGTTGTGATTCGACTTGGCAAATAATTTACCGATTTCATTTCCGAAGACAATCTTTGTGATTGAAAATCACTATATCACAAGCTTTCCGGATGACTGTTCAACTATGCCAAATTTGTAATCGCGAATAATTCTGAACAACATGGCTGATAAGATGGACTTCTACGGGAGATAATTTATCGATTACATACGGTAATTTCTGATAAAACGGATTTGCAAGCAAATGTGAGGATAATGTCACTATAGTGTCACAGTAAGAAATACTGAATTAACCGCATATTAGAGGAATTCTGTCCAAACGAAAACTACCTGACTGAGTGACCAAAGTACGGTAATGGTATTATGGAAGTGAGTAGCATCTCACTGTTTCCTATTAATGGTATTAATTATTTGCCGATCCCGTCATGTCAACAATCTTCATCATCTTCAGCGCATGGTTCAGCCTTTTCGTCACCAATTTTCTTCTCTTTTCCATTGCTATGTGTACCAAAATTATGTAAATTTTATTGAGATGAATCAAGATTATTGCAACAATCTATAGACGATTCAGGAAATAATGATCGGAAAAAATATCTTAAAATATAAAAAGTTTCAAAGTGTCACCGGAAAAAATATCTTAAAATCAATTCCTGGAGTGACAAAGAAGGATCTAAAATAATAATAGACGTTAAATGATAGTAGACGAAAAATAAAAGCATCTATGACAGAATTAAAAAATAAGAAATGGAACAGTTGGCAAACAAAAAGGGAAAAAGAGAAATAGAAAGAGTAATTAGTATTAGGATGTTAATAACTTTCGACATACAAAGTTTCGAACTGTTATTGTTTAATGTTATTAAAATTTTTGTGATGAAAATTAATTTCAAAAAGCTGAAAAAAATTTGAAACTTGAAAGAAACACTTTCCAGCCTTTCAAAATGTATTCTTGAACTTTCCATACATTCTTAAGCAATCTATGCTCTTATGAATTTGCATATTTTATCCATTATTATGTAATGGAAGTATCGGTGATGACCGTAATGAATCGTATTCAGGTGGTATGTTATGTACCAGTGGTCTCGGTTCTTCAGAGGCCGAACAAAACGTATCCGTATTTCGTGCTGATGTAATCACAACAGTTTCACCGTATAATCGTGGTAGCGCACCATCCAGTACCACAATCATAATTATAACACTCAGATAAAGTATACCAACCTTAATTTCAATGCCTGACTTGGAGTCATAATTACGGACATGTAAGTTTCTAAATTCCAACTTTGCTTCACTTTAATTTCTAAATATTAAATGTTTAAATTATCAAACTTTGACTCTGATTCTTTATTATAAATCTTTTAGATGATATTTCTCAGTCTCAGTCTCCATGGTACTGAAAGGAATAAAGAATGATATCATGAATGATGTGAAATTGATAAGATTATTACATCATGAATGTCAACTTAACTACCACAGGCGAAGTCACAAGATGTCAGTAACCGTGAAAACTATGGTATGGCATCACTTTTTAATCGTGTTCCGCAATTCCGGAAAAATTAATTGCCTGATCCAAAGCGCTGATCAATCATTACATCAGAAATGCATCTTGACTTTTTCGATGGATGTATTACTTTTGCCTTTTCCCATTTATCGTCTTAACTATAGAACCAATCAGTTAATTTCAGGAATCAAAGTTAAAAGAATCATGAGAACTCACATATACATACATGTACTTGAGTGGGACTGCATCGATGATTAACTCGAATTCGGTGACATTCTTTCGTCGTTTCACTAAATTCTCCATTTGTAACAAAGAAAAAAACTTCTTTAATATTACTATTAGCTAAACATAACAGTTATTCGAGTCTTGAGAATCTTGCTCTTCCTATCCCTTCCTTTCGATGATTGACTCCTTCATACTCTCAAAAAGTGCAAAAATGTGTGGATGTTAATCTGAATAGTGCAGAATATAAAAAAAAAAAATATACGTTTTTCCGTATACTAATGCTTTATCCTCGGCATTTAAAAGAATTTCCGGAAACATTTCCGGAGACCATATAATTGTCAAATTAGATCAAAATTACTTTACAAGCTCCGTCACCTACATCAATTTCATTTTGGATCGGAAATACCTGGTGCAAGTATAGCATCACTACTGTTTCCCTCGTCGATAATCACCTCTTTTGAGCTGTTATGACGTGAAAATACGTCTGTTGAGTTTGTTGTATTGAGCAGTATAACATCATAATGTTGAGACTTTTGTCCCGTATTCGTCAAAAAAGATATGAGAAATAAGAATGAAAGCATTGAAAGGACGCAACCGCATGTAAAAAAATAATCCATAAGATAATAAAAGAAGATAGTGACAGTAATTTACTTTTGTACATTTGAAAAATGCTATTATAAGGATGACAAAGAAAAAAAACTTATTCTTGAAAAATATTGAAATTCTCGAAAAAAAAACATTTGACATAAATGATAGATAAAATCCAGTTACATGTAACAAGTTTTGTTTGATTTTTGAGGAAGTTAGTTATGCAAATTATATGCTATATATATGGTCATCTGCAACTTTGTCATAATAGGTATTAATTAAACAAATCTATTATTATTCTTTATTTACAACTAAATGCAATACGATAGAACAAAAAAAAAAATTGAAAAAAGTAGTAAGAAAAGCAATAAAAGGGAAGAATAATTAAATAAGGAATGTTTTTAAAATAATTTGGATGGCAAAGATGGAATACACAAACAGAAATGCTGCATTTGAAGATACCTTCTATTCCAGTAGCGCTCAATTGTTCAGAAAACACTCAGAGAGATCAAAGTGATGAAGTCATCTTGGAGGTAAAAACAGAAATACCATATGCAATGATGAGAGATACAATAAAAAAGTATCTATTGTGGACATTATGATTACAAAATAAAAAATATTGAATTACTGTATCGATTGTTCGACATCTTGAAGAACAAATCAATAAAAAAAACTATTCAACGAGAAAAAAAAGTGAGAAAACAAACACTTCAAAATTTGCTAACTTGGAATATATTAGTGACAGCCTAAAATTGCAATTTCCTAACTTGGAACACATCAATGACCCGTAAAAAGGATAAATTAATTAGCCACGAGAAGGAAACAAAATGAGCACTGTTGAATCATCGAAAAGAACAAACGTCAGAGTACGAGGAAAGAAATATTTTCGTGAAACAAAGCGCTGAAAAATTGCAATTCAAAAACCTAAAAATATGTTCAAAGTAAAACTGTAATGTCTCACATACACACATACACACACACGCACACACACACACACACACACACACACACACACACACACACACACACACACACACACACTACTACTACTACACA